ATCGCGCTATTTCGTGGTAACCACCGCGTCACAATCAAAGACAACGATTAACGCATTATATTTCACGTTCGCCTAAACGTTAATATGTTATTTATTGACATTATCGATCAAAAAGCACATAATTTCATATGCGGTTAGTCGTTAACTATTACACACCGATTTAACATTCAATAAGCTCGTAATTGATTGAAGGGCAGTCGAGCAATCAATAATTTATACACTAAAAGCAACGTTCGCAAAATACAATGGTCCAATCGCTATATGTATAATTAATTACAGCCGACTAATACGTCATTTCGGTTGGTAATTATGAAAAGTAAAAGTTCACAAGAAACTGGACTATGAATCCTTCCGCGGTAATTAGTATCCAAAGAACTTCAAACAAACAAAATATTCACAAAAAATTCATATTAAATTTCAGAGAATTGAATGACATTTTGGAAATAATATTTGGAGATTGATGAAGATGAATAATTTGTAATAAAATTCACATATTAAATTTGAAAACTTCATTCACAAAATTGTGAATAAATATGGAAGATTAATGAAGATTAATTATTTGTAATAAAATTCATGTTAAATTAAAAAATTGAATGACACTTCGGAAATAATTATAGAAGATTAATGAAGATTAATTATTTCACACAAAATTCATATCAAATTTATACATTGCATGGTATTTTACAAATAAATATCGAAGATTAATCATTTGAAATGAAATTCACGATGTTTCATAAATATGCATATAAATTCATATTATATTTTCGAATTAAGTGCGGACAGTTTTGATCTGCGAAAGGGCTGATTTTATTTGCAAACAAGGAGAAGTTAATTTGCATAAAAGTGAATTTGACGTGCACAAAGATGGGTAAAACCATAAAATTATTAATTCTATTTGCGAAGAGATGAACCCGATCTACAAAAAAATGAGTTTCGAGTGCAAAAACGGTTCTGTTCGAAAAACGGTGTTAATCACGCGTCTCGTCTATAGACGTTAATAAAATTAGAACCCCGAAGCGGACACAAAGCGTCACCGTTTCGCGATCCCGAAGTTGACGACACCGGAATCTGTAGTTCACCAGCTATAATTATTAGACCACGCAGAGACGCGGTATACCATGTCATCGGTTCTCCGTTACAAGAGGCAGATGACGTATCAGCACGTCATCATCGTCTCGTCTTCGACGGGCGTCATCAGTTTCCAGGTTTAAACGAAAGGACGCGACGGCCATTATAGGTAAAAAGACGACACCGTCGCGTCATCGTACGTAAAAGGAGACATCGGCGTAAGTAAAAGCAAGCATCGCCGGCGTCATTGGTCGTCGATTTCGACTATAAAAAGCGGCGGGTGATCGCGTCATCCGCCGAGCCGGGATATAAAAATACACGCGATTGATCGCGAGAGTGTTAACGAAGGGTCGCCGTAGGATCGATCCCCGTGTTCATTCTCGATCGGCGTGTATGAAAAAGGTATTTACGGCTAGGTCAACTGCATTCTTACCGCCTGGATGAGTTTTCGTGCAAGTCGGATAACGACCGCAGTTATCCCGCTGGTAGATCGAGCAGGGATCTTCGGCCATCACGCATACCTCGTCCCTCCTGCAGCCGATGTCCTTGCATGTCCTTCCGTATTCTGCGAGCAGAGAGCAGTAATTCGTTTTGAGTTCACGTTTAGTGGCGAAAGTTCCGAGCCATGATCCCACGATTGGATACGGTTCATTAAAACTTCGCCACCGTAGAGGCGCGTGTCATAAATGGAATTTATACCGGAGCTCGGTGGCTTCGCGCTCGATCATTCGGATACCTTAATCCGGATCGGACACGGACAACTATAACGGGACGACGCGTGGCTTCGGTAAAGTGGCCGCGTTCAATATTTACACGATCGCGGTTTTATACCGGAGTTCCGGAACACGCCGCGCCGCGGTCCACAGTTTGCCGGACTTTTGTGCGCCGTTACTGTTCCCGCACTTTATACAGCCGCGATAAAACGGTGCCATATTTCCCGGCCGCATTAGGAACGGCGGAGAACGCCCGGGCCACGGTCCACCGAAACGTTTTCTCAAATGTCGCGGTTGTTATGCGTGCCGGTTAGCGTAATCGATCGCGCACACAAACAAGCTTCGAACTCCTCGTGAATACTTAAATCCGTTGAGCGAATCTCTGACACAAGTGACGGATGCGTCGAGGAATTTCAGTACCTAACTAGCATTCATCGATGATACTAATTTACAACGTAGATCCACGAACTGTTGCAACTTTTCGCGTGAACTATCTTCGAAGAATATTACTAGGATTAATTATACGCACGGCACAGTATATATAAGTCTGTTAACCATTCAATTGCGACAAATGAGAAGTTTGCGAATTAATTGTAACAAAATAATGCCACTGACAATGCAAAGCACAATTTTTATTTTGAGATCACATACAGGTGAACTTGACCAGAAGAGAAACAACAGAAAAATGTCAATGTTTTTTTAGGGAAAAAATAGCCCCCCGGACAATTTTTTTTTAGTTATTCCGTGGTCAATATAAATGCTGCTATTTTATTGTTTATTTATGAAGAAATCGATTTACCGTGATCATGCGTAACTCATTTTAAAAGTAAACTGGACTTACGCTGGTTGGCTTCTGAACCGTCCATTTATGCATCTGATCGCAATTATTATGTTTATAAGAATTAGTAACTGAAGAATTTTTGCCTTCAGCCGCTGAAGTTTAGCAGTTTAATTAAATCGAAGCTGTGTAATTAAGGCAATCTTTATTTGAACGAGGATTTTGGTACAACAAGTGTGCTGATGAACTATTGTACGACGTCGTCGAAGCTTTTAAAAGAAAAGGCACACCGCCATGATCACGTTATAAATTGTGTAATATTAAGTATAACCTTTGGACGTATCCTGTGCCCACAGGTGAACTATAAGGACAGGATGAAACTAACAAGAGGAGCTGTAAAAATAAGTCGACTCGTGTTGATCGATTATCGTGAAAAATGTCTGGAATATTCGAATTTTCTTCCCCGTTGTGTCCTCGGTTGAACAAATCTGCGTTTTGTCCTCGAGTTCTAGAGCGAGCACAGGAATGAGATATCGCTTCATTTTTCACTAGAGTCTGTGCCGCAGAAGAGTCAAACGCCTGCGAGCAGGCTAAAAAGTTGATCGCACGAATTGCACGTGACGTCAAATATAATAAACAAGTTAATTGCAATGTTAAGGCAATGTTTTACCAGAACGGCAACCCGAAAGCACTTGATAGCGAGGTTCGAACATGTGACGCTCAAGTACTGCGCGGAGAAACTGTCAAAGTTCTGTAGAGTACACGAAGCTACGAGCACGAGAGAGTGAATGTAGTGCAAAGTATGCAGTCGTTAAGTAGTATCGCACTTTCTTCGTGTACACAGGATGCCCTGATACAGTAAAATTTCAATTAACCGGCGTGCTTGGGACTTCAGCATTGCCGGATCATCAAATATTCTGGATTATTGGGGCTACATTTGTAATCAGGTTGAAACGATGAAAACAATTGAAAACCGATTACAACTGTACAATGCAATTTATTCAGCAGAATAATGTATGCATTGAACACGCGATATAATTTAAGTTTTTTAAAATAATGCCCGTATGATCTGCTTCGTAGAAATCGATTGTTTATTTTAAAAAATCACTTGATTGTGGGCGAAGATTCATTATTAAATTTATATTAAATTCGTGCACGTGTGTGTGTGTGATGGTTTCTTTCTATCGTCTATTTCTAATCGGTTTTTAATCTTCAATTTTTTATCCAATTTAAAAATTACATGTTTCCGTTTTATTAATGTAGAAGCTTCAGATGAACCAGGCTTTGAAGATATTTTAGTGCACCATATGACAAAAGTATTCTTTCAAATGTGAACTGAGACTAACAATGAGACTAAATCTATGATCAAACGATTTAAGATTTTGCCTGTGTTTGATAAATCTGATATCTGAACGAAAACTTAACCAAATAGCATATTTATATTATTTCTAATACAGAAATATACAAATATGATATTTCGTTAAGCTATTCTTTAAATATACATAAATTAAAAAGAATGTAAAAGAAAAATATGCAAACATGACGTTTTGTTAAATTTTCGCTTAGATGTTGGTAACAATGTGAAAGTAACTCTGAGTCTATAATTATGCACACGACTCTGTGTAAAGTGGAATAAGCTGGTGGTCTCGTGTTTGCGGCAACAACGGACAAGTGACGGAAGAAAAGCCTACGCGCGCCGGGTTATCGGGTTTTCCGAATTACTGTGTGTGCCGGATTATTGGTATTCTACTTGTACATACTTCTAATCACGAGTGCACAGACATGGCTAATCGATCCGGCAAGGTAAAACTGTTGGACGCGGTAAATATGTTTACATTCCGGTGACATTAACTGAAGAACCCTCGCCCACGCAGGGTCCAGCAAAATGTCAGACAGTGTCACGGCGGCAGCCGAGCCTAATGTAACTGATATACATGAACCTGTTGTTTAGCGAGTGAAATGTAACTCTATTAACTACTGGATACGATACTCGACCTCAACTAATGATCTGCATGTTACTCGAATTACAGCTCGGATGTCAACGTTGCCAATGGATGCTACTCATGATATGATCGAAGGCTTGCTTAGCTTCTATTAATAAAATCAGATTTTCCCACGCCGTTTTAAAAGATTGTTAATTGTCGAACATCGACGAGTCTGACTCGTGACGGACGTTTCTAGTGATAGATATACGAATGTTATTCCGTTTTTTTATAAAGTTGAAATGAAAAGTGCGTTCTCTTGATATTTACTTATTCGTAAAGCAGGAGACTGCATTACTTATATTATTAATAAATAGTATGACAATAATTTAAAACCTATTATTTGATAGGAAATTGTTACGGTAATCGATTATAATCTCTTAATTTTATTAAGATTCGCAAGAGGTGAAACTATTGAAAAAATAATTGATGTCACATAACTTTGCTCTGTAATTTTAATTGAATTGTGTGAAATACTTTAATTTTACGTCATTTCTTTCGGCTTTTGTCGCGGCCGTCGATGTATTAAGGGGACAATTTCAGTAGTTCTTTCTGCAACTATTTTTGAGATAACGACCCAGTTAAATAACGATTTAGTATCGGTGAGAATGAAGTCTTCTTACACCGGACTGGATGCATCTATTGTGCATTTAGCTGGCGTTATCCTCCCATCGCTGTAACGCCGCTAATCGTAATTCTATTCGAGCACCGCAGTGTCATCCCCATATAACCCCATCGATTCTCAATTATCTAACCAGTAGGAGAAGGAGAAGGTCGCAAGGAGAGTCAAGAAGGGAGAGACAGGGAGAGTAAGAGAGCGCGAGAGAGAAAGACAGAGAGAGAGATCGCGTGAGTGAGTGAGTGAGTGAGTGAGAGAGAGAGAGAGAGAGATCGCGTGAGTGAGTGAGTGAGTGAGTGAGAGAGAGAGAGAGAGAGAGAGAGAGAGAGAGGGAGAGATCGCGTGAGTGAGTGAGTGAGTGTGTGTGAGAGAGAGAGAGAGAGAGAGA